CCATTTCAAATGGCCACTTCGACTTGGGATCCTTCCCTTGTGAGAAGCCCAGAGAATCATCCAACAAGGGAGCATAGGAAGTTGAGACTGGAGATCACGAGGAACCTTAAGAAGAGATGATGGAAGGTGATTGAAAAGGACCTTGCCAAAAGTGAAGCGGAAGCTGCCGCACTCAGAAGGACGTGGAGACCACATACACAGCGCGCCCTCCGTCAACGCGGAATTTATGTCAGGTGAAAAAGGAGGAGAATAATCTCCCCAGATTTATGGACATTCTTTTCACCCGCTCGGCGGGAACTGGATCGAGTTTTCCAGGAAACAATTCCCATGAGGAAAGAGAACAATCTCGTAATTGAGCATACTTTCAAGACATTCACGATACTCGCGCATTACCAGTATTTGGATATCATTCACTGGTACCACCTTGTATTTTGGTATTCAAGAGATTTATCCAAATTGACCAACTTCAAACTTCGAAAGAGATTTCTGCTGAATTCTACTTACTCTCGCTTACTGGATAGCGAAAAACTAGCTGGAGGTGTAGTCGTCCTGAGTGTACTGGGACTGATTAATGAACAACGCTTCCAACATTCTGTTCACCGAAAAAGGAGCCCGAGACTCGGAAGAGTTTTGCGGTCAGTGTCAAGTATCTGTCAGAATGCCTGAGTTTAGCCAAGTTCAATTGTTGCCTCATCTAAGCATCAGCAAGTCAATTCCGTTTTGTTGATTATTGGGTCTCCACGAGTAGTACCAGTGGACTGATCTCATCCAATCCCCACCGGTCTTCAAGCTCCAACCACAAAAACAAGCCTTCATTGACCTGTGGTCATGAAAAACTCCGATCACATGCCAGTTTTCAGTGCACTAATCAGATTGAACCGGTTTCAAATCTTAAAAACGTTTCGAGCAAAATCCAAGCTGAACGATCCTGACAATAAACCTCGCTTTGTTTTTCTTCTCTTACATGATGAGTAAGGGATCGGATCACCTCTCAGCACCGAATAAACAGCTTGAATCTATGAAAAATCGAAGAGGAGTCGATGAATGGGAACAATTTAAGTTAAAGAATCAGAAAATAACTCTCACTGACAACTTCTCAATACATAGCATTGAAAGTCGGGTGTGGTGCAATAGGAACGAAAATGTCGCTCGCGGCGAGAGGGACGCCGCACGCGAAGGAATGTAGCAGAATGCAGCAGCAAATAAGAAATTCAGGAACAAAAGAATCCACAGTAGAATCATGCCAAAAGTAATAGTCGCATAACGATTGAGCTGTAGGAACCTAGAACTGTTATAAGCGAGACAAATGGTCCGCGACAGCCACGTGCGGCCGATCGATTACACAAAAGCGTTCCTACTGCCCGTCTTGCCTGAAAGTCTCTCACACCTTTATTACATGGCTATTCAGTCAGTGTTCCCTACGGATGGTGGTCCAATACCGACCACACTCTCTAAAGAGCCGATACCCAGTCACACTATCAACTCATTTGTCCAAATTGTTTGTTCTTCAACTTGCATGCAAAGAAAACAGTCCATGGGATGATCCTATTTTTTTGAGATAGAAATTCATTTGTAGATCCAGCAAGTCTATCACCAGCCATTGCTGCAGCCACCCGGAAAGCAAACATTAAGCAGAAGCCCTTCATGCTGAACCTGTTCAACCGTAAGTTCAGCTCTTTGATATGTCTGCTCGATCAAGTGTGGTGATCATGTTTTAGGCTTAAACGTCATGCTTTATCCGACAAAACCAAAGCAGGTTGAAGTGGTTGCGTTGCCGATCCTGTGGGAATGCTTGAAGACCGGCGTTGCGGATAGTGAAATAAAAAAGGCTTTGACGGAATTCGCTAAGGGACTTGTTGATCTGGTAATTTTGATTTTATCAATATATAAGAAAAGCGACTGAACAGGATGCCTTCGACGGTTTTCATAATCTCAAAACACCAACACAGGGCTCCTTTTTATTCAAAAATTAGGGGATTCAAATTCAGATCCAGTTCTTGCTATTTATGGAAGGGTCTTTTTCCGATTCTTGTTGGTCTCATCCGAACTCGGCCAGTTTTGGAATAAAGAATCTGATTTTTAAAGGCGCAGTTCACGATAATTTTGAGATACCCTTTTCAGGAAGAAAAGTGGAAGTGTTGATGTAGAAGAGTACATCGGTGGCGAAGAAAGCGAGAAAATCCGCCTACTTCAAGGTTTTTCGAAAGTAGGGAAAGGGAGTTTGTACGAGATCACCATGACGGAGATCATTGAAGGGGTGTTTGGACGAGATTTAACTTGTTCCCATTGCTCAAAGAGAGACAACATCAAGCCAAAATTGTCCGAAACTGCCTCTCACTGTCGCTATTGGTTATGGCAAACTTCCTACACAGGAGTCTCCTGAGATAGTGCAGCCTCCACAAAGCCGTTGAAAGTCGTCCATGAGGGGTGTGGCATCCACACGATACAATCTTTGGCCCCTTATTGTGACCTATCTTGCACGTTACTCGACCTGACAACGGCACATATGGTATCAGAANTGACGGAGATCATTGAAGGGGTGTTTGGACGAGATTTAACTTGTTCCCATTGCTCAAAGAGATGACAACATCAAGCCAAAATTGTCCGAAACTGCCTCTCACTGTCGCTGTGGGTTATGGCAAACTTCCTACATGGGAGTCTCCTGAGATAGTGCAGCCTCCACAAAGCCGTTGAAAGTCGTCCATATGAGGAGTGTGGCATCCACACGATACAATCTTTGGCCCCTTATTGTGACCTATATTAGACGTTTCTTGACCTGACAACGGCACATCTGGTATCAGAGGGGACCTCGAATTCATTCTAAGTGGGAATCTCAGAAACCATTTTCGTGAACTGCGCCTTTAAAAAGCGCTTCAAGAAATTCATCCAGAGTGTCCTACTGAATAGAATCGTAGTCGGCATTTATCTATTCCAGATGGGTGAACGAGTTCTGCTGGATCAAGCCTCGATGGAACTGGATCCTTCACGGAGAAGGCTGCTCGAATCTTTGATACGATAGCTGCCAGCTGCCAGTCGAAGAAGGAATTTCTAGCACATCATATCACTACGGGTAGATCTGCAGGAAAAAATCTGAAGCCACATCAACTGTATCATAGGTAATGACTGGTAATGTCTAATTACAATGGTATACCAATTTGAACATCCTGCTTCAACTTTTTTGAAAGATACCTTACAACCAAAAGTCAATGCTTGCTAAATCGCCTACTCAGTACATGCTTAAGAGCTTTTCATAGTAAATACGGGCCAAAACCTTTGTCGATTTCTGTTTGTCTGGATATCTGTTTTGATCACTGAATATTGACATTTATTTGGCATTTATTTAATGTACAATCAATAAATACAGTATTTATACCCTTTGTGTGCGAGATTTGATGCTTCCGTGGACGATGTAGAAGTGGCCAACCATTTTTGAAAACGAACTAACGTGAAATGCATACATCGCTAACACGGTCACGTATTCGAACATCGCGAACAACTCGTACGCTGTAATTAGGACGAGTTTACAACTGTTCTGTGGTCACTTTAATGGGGATAAAACTTTAATCAAATCTCTCGATTGCGCCATGCACTTGATTACAAAACCATCGATGGATCAGGATTCAGGAATACACAAAATTTTAATATATCAACTACCGTCGAGAATTGATCTTTAGAAGCTTTCCACAAATGTTCACGACGTTCCCCCAACTTTCGACCATCCTCCTACAACCACCGACCCTGGCTCAATGGATTATTGAGCTAGTTCTCGAGCATCCTGTCAAGGTTGGGAAAGCATCCTTCGACTTATATGACAGCAATCGAGAAAAGTAAAAATTTGTTGACTAAGGCCTAGGGAGGATTGCAGAACCTCTCCATTAAACATTTGAAGGTCGACTTTGGCGATACTGCTAGTGTGAAACCACGCATGGCCTGGAACAGGATGACTTCGGCCAGCCCGTGAGGTCCCAACAGGCGGTTGGTCAAACTTACTCAATGAGGACTACTCTTTTTAGAGGAGCTACCAATCTTGTTTTTCTCACCTCCATACAATGGATCAATCAAATTCAACATTCCAATGAGCGAAAATGATAGGTTGTGGAAGGGCAGGAAGAAGAATTTAGAGTAATTCTCCGACTTTTCTGTCAAAATGGCCGTTTTGCACTAACAACCAGAAGACATTTCAAAAGGGTGCATTCGAAGAAGATGGTTCAGGACAGGTTTTTCTGTCGCAGTTCCCCTTCGTAGCACTTTGAGACATTTCCTAAGGAAGTCCAAAATAGGTCATTGTCACCTTGGAAAGTTCCTTTTTATTTTAAATACGAATTTCGAGCAGTCTTCTCAGTATAGCATCCTTTTCACATACAGCACTGATCTTTTGGACACCTTCGATAGCTTTCCGATGTTAGGAAAAGAAAAGGCAAAGGGAAAAAAGGTTCAGAAGATGTTGGCATTTCCGTCGAAAATTCCTACTCGGAAACTCTAATTCATGATAAGATTTAGTTTTAATGGGAAAATGTAAGTATATGCTTGGCGATCAGCCTAGGCCATGCGAAATTGGGAAAAGCAAACAAATCCTGACTTTTCAATTATGAAAGACTTAGCTAGCGTTTATAGGCACAGTT